ACAAACCCTCTGTAAGGAAGACACTCATATATAAAGTCGTCTCCCAGCCCGAAGTGGTCATTTTGACTATCCCTCGGTTGAGTAGCGAGGACCTCTCTGATGGCCGACAATTCCAAACATATGCATGTCATCTTTTCACGATCGACAAGTATCTCCCCCTGAAAAACAGTAAGCTCCTCGCCTGGTCAACTCTTCCTAGAACTTTAACGATTCCTTCGTCAGTGTCCCACCAAGGATAACCCATATAAAACTCCTCCATCTTAGTAAGACGACGCGATATGAAGTTAGAGGACACACGATGACTTCCGGCCATCTCCTCTTCCCTCGCAGCGCCGGAAGAAACCTAAGAACCTACACTCTGGCCTCCGTTGAGAGATCAGGGCCCCTCCATTCTTCGCTCCTCAACACCTTGCTCAACACCCGGATCCCCAGCATCATGCTCCATATCACCTCCCTCTGATACGCCTTGTTCCAAAGTGTTTGTTCCATTCATAGCAACCTGCTCCACACCTCCTTCATTGGCCACGGCCTGGTCCACAATGGCTATGTCATCCTTGGGGCCAACATCAATATCTATCGATACATATTCAATAGTCAGGACTTCTGTAACTGCACCCAAAAAGGGAAATACAAAGGAGCCAACATTCTCCCCACTCACACGTGGTGTAAGAAAAAAATATCATCACCGGCCTTCCTTAGTCCCCTACCCACAAAGGAAAGACCTCTCTTCATCAGTCGAGGAAACGTCTTAGCTTCAACCGCCGCGCCTCAATACCTCCTTGGGGAACCGCAGCCTCCGCAAAAACCTGCACAAGCATCCTTTTTGCATTGATTGTCGGGAAGTTCATTATCTTGCAATAAAGGCAATCGGCCCTCAAGACGGTCGGCAAGAAACATCCCTTTTTGGATCGATTGTTGACAGACCGAATGCATAGTGAACGATCTACGAGCTTCCTATCGATCAAATCAATCATCTGCTCTTATTACATGTGTAAATATTTTTAATTACCAAAATGACCCTCTAAAATGCTAATGATAAGGGACTGATATGTAATTTTGTAGAGCCTAAACACATTCCTATAAACAGGTGTGTCAATGTCATGAATAAAATTTATGCATTTTTTTCTTAAATAAATTTATCTGAGGGTCACAATATTCTTCCACACCAATATCTTCATGAAATTCTTAAAAAATCATTTTCAAAATTTTAATTAAGAAACTGATCAAAATTAAACATTTTTCATTGAAAATGAAATAAAATAAAATAAAATAAAATAATAACATCTTATTGACCCATTAGAAAAGTCGCTCTGCCTTGCTCTTCGAGCTCTGAAAAATCTTCCTTCGCTTCAGTGAGAGGGTTGACTGCACTAAATGTGTTTTGCCCTCCAATTCTCACCTCTCGATAAGCGAGCCAAGCGGTCATAGGACCATAGCCGCTACGTGTTTTGGCTGTGGATATGCTTGTAAAAAATATTGGCTTTGGAATTTAGAATTTTACCCCTTGTAAATTCGAATTGTCGGAGCAACTCAAAAAACAAACCAAAAAATGATTAGTCAACCAAAAAATTGACCAATAAATTTGAAATAGACCCACAAACATAAAAGCAATTAAAACTTGACTTAAGTTCGTGACAAATTAACTCTTTTATCTTTTTTTTTAATGTTACATCGGTCAAATTTGAATTGGTCGAATTGAAAATTATTCATATTTATTAGACTCTTAGGCCAATTTAATCACTAAAGTTGGTTCAAATAATGATGATTCGGGTCGAAACAATTTTAAGCCAGACTCAAACTCAACTCACAACACTCATAATTGTAGAAAAATAAAAATCCAATTGTCAATGAGATGTACTTGCTCAAGCTCGAGCCGACCATACACCTCATGAGAAGAGCTCGAGTTTTAGTATGAGTTAAGCCCAATTCGATAAGTTCAATACAGAAAGATGTGTACTTCATGATTATAAAAGTTCAATTGGATGAATAAAATCTAGATTTGTGAGATAAAATTAGAAGAAAATGTGAATGAAATTTGGGTGAAATTACTGCATGCTAATTGATAACTGTTGAACACATTACACTTGTCTTATTTGCTAGATGTAAATGGGACGAAATTCAAATCTATTTGCATTCCTTCTTCTAAGCTATGTCTTAATGAAGACCGGAATGGATGTGATGGGAGTGAAACCCCTAAGATTTGATCTTTTTTTTTTTCATAATAATTTTTTAGTAGTTATCTTTTTGGTCGTTATGAAATCTAGAATGCCACTTGACGCTTGACATTTGGTATTATGTTATCTTTTGGGTCTAATCAATAAATGGTAATTGGCAAGTATTCTTAAATGTCATCGTCGTGATCTGATGGGTGAACTGGTGAGTCTTATCTTTCATTAATCAAATAAATATAATAACTTTATTATTTCAAGCTGATCAAACATAGATGCTACATACTTTTGATCTTTAGTCTTTTGGTCATGTTGAGTTGCTATCATAACACCTTATTTTCTCTTGAGGCTCCATTATTTTATGATTACGCATGCTTGGCTTCTCTGTTCCTCTTTGATTACTTAACAATTAACATATTGCTCCTAGTTGTTGAGGAATCTTTTGTGCCTACGACAATGCTATTTGGTTATTCGTTTAGAAATTATTCTTTGTTATATAGAGTTATTTTTTAAGATTTTCTTGGATCTTGGAGCTAGCTACTATACCTTTTTGTTGGCAAAGATTTGCTTAATTATGACTTACATCAATTTAATCAGAGTTTTGAGATGGAGCCTCCACAAGGCTTTTTTTGGATGAGTTCTAAACTTTTTGGTATTTCTATTTTCCACCTTTAAGGTATTTTTCTTATTTTAGTGTACCTATACATGCAACGACACCACTCTCAAGCTTGAAGTTTTCAAGATTAAATATAAGATGAAATAGCTACCTAAAGAGGTAATTTTAACATATAGATGTAATTTGTAATTAACAATTGTAAAGAATATAAAAATGTAAAATTTAAATTTCGAAGAAAACTCTTCAAATCGCTTCTATTAAAATTTGGTTTGGTGTTCCAACTCGGTCTAATTTTCATGCTTAGTTAAATTAAACTTTTCTAATTTATTATGCAATTTATCTCTATTTATATGATGCATATTTGTTAAGATTTTTGAGCCATCTCAAGATAATTTTTAGAGTTGGTTCCTAATGGATTTCAAGCTTAGATTTGTTCAGGATTGAACTTGTTGTCAAGCTGGATCTGTCCAGATTTCGAGCTAAATGCATCATTCGAGCCAACTTGTTTCCACTTCAGCCAAATCAAAATCAATCTTTAATCCAATTTGGCTCGCAATTGACTCCTCGACCCACGATCCAATTTCGAGCCAAAAATATTTGCATTCAATCCGATTTCGAGCGGATGAGCTGACTACGAAACCACTCCACATTGAATTGTTCACAGCACTATTTGAGAGCAATTAAGAGCCTACATTTGAGAGGCAACGTCTTTTTAACCAAATTAGATATCTCTGTGGGTTCATCCCCTAAAGATAAATTAATGAGAAGCAATCAAGAGTTGTCAAACATCTTATAGTGATAAATTCTTAAATATTTAAGGGGCATTTACATACATGCAACAAAAGTTTTATATATTTATATATCTAACATCTAAACTTTTTACATGTATACCGCTCAATTCTTTTGCAGCATATTAAAATAGCACTCTTTCAACTTTTAAAAAGTAAAACAAGGTGGAGTGTGTGTCTATATATATATATTGAAATTTAGGTGATTGATATGTAAATAAATAAGAATTGAGGGGTATGTAAGTAAAACATTCAATATTTAAATAAGTCTATCCAACCACTAAATCAAAGATCACAATAAATGTTCACATAAAACAAAAACGGCCGTTAACTGCCAGGTCTTTATTAGAGCCACCAAACTTATCCAATCCTGCAGGCCCTTTTGTGGGCTACTGGGCTTCTTATATCACGCATTTTTAAAATTAATAAAAGCCTAGGCCCAATTTTATTCATATAGTAAGAAAAGCACGTTTTGTTTGATATCAAATTTTATATTAAAAAGATAAACAAAACAAAAATTAAATTTTGGGGTTAGATTTGTAAATACATAGAAATGGGGGGTATATTTGTAAATGCCTTTAAGTATATGAATTTTGTATATGAATTTTGTAAATGGTCATCTAACCTATGCGCTAATAGAGAACAATTTGTATGTATATGAATTTTGCAATCTACAAACCCTCAATACAATGATTTGTATTTCACTCAAGGCTCATTTGGTTGAATGTAAATATAAAATATATTTTCCTTCTGAGAAGATTTTGGGAGCCTTTATAGTTTCATAATATGTGTGTGTGTGTGCACTCCGCATAGCCTGGCCAGATGATTGACATTCACGGTATAAGACCCCTCAAGTCGGGGGTTCAAATCTCCTCTGGAACAATTTGTTTTAAGGAGGTAACACTCAAATTATTAGGCACATTATTAGTGACCAGAGCATATATTTAAAATTAATTGTCAAGTGCCCAAAGAGAATCCAATTTATTCCATATATTTTTGTAAAAAGATATTGGTTATAAAACAAATAATTAAAAGCTAGCAGAAGAAAAACTAAGAATATGATAAATAATTTTAGTAAATATCATTTTGATATTATTACAAGATAAAGACATCTAGTACGATAGATTTGAATATCATGGATCTAACATATGGAAGAAAGAGTATATAATTAAAATATAGCTTATAAAGTTCAAAATAAAAACAATAAGGAACTGCCTTATTGTCATCATGAAATAAGGCTATCAATTAGAGTCAAAGATATATTATATAAAATTATAAATAGATCAATATTTTTCTAATGAATTCTAAAAAGCTGTTTGATAGAAGTTTTTAATAAGATTTATCACTGGAATTATTAAATTCCAGCAAAATGCAAGACTTCATTGAATTTATTCTTATATATTTACATATCTACATATAAAGCTGGTTCTTCCTTTAGGAGAACTCTCTATATCTCTCGCGCTATACCACTGTGGTATTAGAGCCCATGGTGGACGGCGGCAAGAACCCCGCCAGTGATGACCACCACGGTATTAGAGTCCATGGTGGACGGCAGCGAGAATCCCGCAAATGATGAAGATTGCAGTTGGGAAGTCATACGTGAACTCACATTCAATTTGGAACTGCTAGTGTACCATCTGACTACAGATTTCATGGAATTCATGGAAGATATGAGGATGGATTTGCGTGGCCTTCGAAACAATGGCAATTTGCAACCGGCAAGCACACCAGCTCCAAGAGAAACAACTGTTTTAGCTCGAGGCCAGAGAAGAACACGAAGGACAGAGCTAACTAACCGATCTGAAAACCCTATTACCGGCGATAATAGATAGACTCAGTGACGACAGGTAGAATCTGATTCTGATTCTGATGCTGAGTTACCGATGTGGCATCCCAGTCAATACCGGAATGAGATTAAAAATTGTGAAAAATATAAGGTAAAGATTAACATACCTTTTTTTACAGACATTTGCGCATAGAAGACTATCCAGACTGAGAACAATCTGTTAACACATTCTACGACTATATGAAGATTCCGGCAGAAAAAACGTAATGTATGTTGCCTGTAAACTGAGAGTTCAAGCTGGATCACGGTGGGTACAACTCACACAATCCTGGAAATGAGAGGGTCAAAATTGATTTAGAAGTTGGAAACGGATGAATCAATTACTACGAAGTCATTTCTTACCTTCTGATTACAAGCAGGTACTCTACTTGCAATACCAAAAGTGCGCCCAAGGAAGCCCCACAACCAGCCCATACATATATTGAGGATTTTTACCGCTCAAGTGTTTGCAATAACTTGAATGAAAGTGATCAACAATTGGTGACGAGATACATAGGTGGCCTTTAGGAGTCTATTCAAGACAAGCTAGAAACTAATGCGGTATTGTCTCTATCTCTCCCAAGCAATTAATTTTGCATAAAAAGCTGAATTGCAGCTATCTAGAATCCCAAATTTTAACAAAAGGAAACGCTCTACTAGGAAGCTACACGCTGGGTTGCAAAAAGGAATCAAGCACAATACAAAGCCGAGCTCCCTTCAAGTCCAACATCCAACTGGCAATTTGAGAGTCAATAAAAGGAAAGCAGCCAAACCAACTCACCCAAAAGAAACTAACTATAATAAACCTAGGCTCGTTGCCTCCAACCGGGCCACAAGTCCCATGAATGCCGTAATCGGCATCATGCCGAGCTAATCGAGGCTGATGAAGCAAATGAAGAGGGATTCCTTGTTGTCGTCAAAGATGTAGTGGGAGATGAAGGTGAATTGCTAAACTTCATACTAGAGAAGTTGATGATGTCCCCTAAGCGTTTGCTTGCTTACCAAAGACATTGCATATTCTGCGCGAGATGCACTTTAATGGGTAAGGTTTGAGATTTACTTATTGATAGTGGATGTACCGAAAATATTGTGTTGCAAAAGATAGTTAAGGCGTTACATTTGACGATTACAAAACATCCAAATCCCTACAAGGTTGGGTTAAGAAAAACGTGGAAGTTGCTGTGACTTAATCATGCCAATTGTAATTCGTTACTGGAAAATAATATAGATGCGAGGCTCTCTGTGATTTTGATATGGCATGACATGGACATGTGCCGTTTCATGCTAGGAAGGTCTTGCCAATATGAGGCAATAATGTGGTATGACGGTCGAAGCAATGCACATCTATTAGAATGGCAGGGTAGAAGAATCCGACAGGAAACCAACACAAAAATCGTTTCCGGATTCCAATTACTAGCAGGTTGGAGAGAACAAAATCAACTCCTTGCTGCTGCGATAACTGAAACAAGACACATTCCTGTGAAAACTGTAATTCAGCTTTACCAGTAGGAGCCTCAATTGTACTTGAGCTGTTTTCTGATACCATGCCTACTGAACTACCAAAAGAGGCTGCCTCTCAAAACTATTCAGCATCAGATGGACCTGTAGAAGCGTGCTTACCTATAAGAGGACTTAATTTATCGATGAAAATAGGGGTATAATTCTTTGCAATAAGAGGACTTAATTTTATTGATGAAAAGAGGGGTATAAATACTCATTACAGGACTTACTGGTAAGAAAAATAATAAAAAACAGAATACAGTAGAAAATGAAATGAATAATAACAAAATATAAGAGACAACTAATCTCTCTAATTAAGGAAAGAAATAAATAGAGATTCTCAAGATCCTTCATATAATTTATAACTCTCTAAATATAGAGTTATAACAAATATGAAATATAATCATTAGTATTTTCGAGATCTTTCAATACTCCCCCTCAAGTTGGGTTGTACAGATTGTACATGCATAACTTGCTACATAATTCTTCAAAGTTGATTCTTGGGAGAAGCTTAGTGAGGATATCTGTTGTTTGATGTCGGGAAGGAATGTATGCAAGTTCGACGACTCCTCTCTCAGGGTTTTCTAAGATGAAGTGTCGATCGATCTCGATGTGTTTCGTTCTGTCATGGCGTGCTAGATTCTTTGCAATGTTGATTGTTGTCTGATTGTCGCATTGTAGTTTGACAGTTTTTTCAGTTAGCATTTCGAGTTCATTGAGTATTCTTCGAATCCACATTCCTTCACAGATCCCGTGTACAAGAGCTTTAAATTCAGCTTCAGTGTTGCTTCTTGATACCACAGACTGTTTTTTGCTTCTCCAAGTGACTAGGTTTCCCCAGGCATAAGTCCAATAGCCGGAAGTCGATCGTCGGTCCGAAACAACCCCAACATCCCCTGCCTAGCCTGCGTCTGAATACACTTATATATTTCAATCCTTATTCCTTTAAAATAGTAGCCCATTGACTGGAGTCATCTTGAGGTATCTCAAGATTCTGTAAATTGCATTCATGTGTTCTTCTGTAGGGTTGTTCATGAATTGACTAACAACACTAACAGAAAAATTAATGTCAGGTCATGTGTGTGAGAGATAAATGAGTCGCCCCACGAGTCGTTGATATCTCAGGTGCGTTATTTTTCTCAGTGTTGATCTTCTTGTAGGGATCTATTGGAGTACTGACGAGTTTGCAACCGAGCATAATCAGTGTTGATATTTCCGTTATGACACAAATACTCATCGTTTTGATCGAGCTAGTTCCATGCCGAGAAAGAACTTTGGGTTTCTGAGGTCTTTGATTTTGTATTCCCGAGTGAGAAGCTTTGTCAGATTTGTGAGTTATTCTTCGTGATTTCCAGTGAAGATGATATTGTCGACGTATACGATTAGAATTGCAATCTTCTTTTCGGGAGAGGTCTTCACGAAGAGAGTGTGATCTGTCTGACACTGAGTATACCCGCGTTTTGCACAGATTTTGCAAATCTATCGAACCATACTCGGGAAAATTGTTTGAGGTCGTACAATGATTTTAGGAGTTTGCAGACTTTGTTGTTTGGAAATGATGCTTCTAGTCCGGGAGGTGCTTCCATGTAAACTTCTTCTTCCAAATCGTCATTTAGGAAAGCATTTATTTTTCGGAAAGCATTTTTCACGTCGAGTTGATGTAGCTGTCAGTTTTCATTTGCCGCAAGAGAAGAATTCTGATGGTGTTAAGTTTGGCCATGGGGGCAAAGGTTTCTTGGTAATCAATACCGTATGACTGCGAAAAACCTTTTGCTACAAACATGTTTTTAATCTCTCAATTGTACCATCAGCCTTGTATTTGACTTTGAAGATCCATTTGCAGCCGATTGCTTTCTTTCCCTTTGGCAGGTCTGAGACAGTTCATGTATCATTCTTTTGTAGGGCTCTTAACTCCTCATTGATGGCGTTTACTACCCCGGGTGTTTGAGAGCTTCATCAATAGTGTTTGGGACTTGTGTATTGTCGAATGCAGTGACATAGGCTCGGTAAGTTGAAGATAGTCTTTCATAGGACAAAAAGTTAGAGATCGGATGCATCATGTGTTCGTACCTGAGTGGAGGTCGAATGGACCTAACACCTTTCCTAAAAGCAATTGGAATGTCGGAGTCATCAATTATAGGTATGCTAGATTCATGTTCAAGTGTGTTCGTACCTGAGTAGATTTCTGTAGGAGTTGGATCCGATTCTGACTCAGTTGGATCCGATCCGATTCTGACTCCTGGATTGGTGTTGGATGTGTTGGGTGGTCTGTGTGTTTGTTATGCGTGGGAGGTGGTGCAAGAATGGGTGATGAGTTGGGCACTTGAGGACTAGACGAAAACTGATTGTTAGGTACATTTTCACGTGAGTAGGATGAATTTATTGAATCTGAGTCGGAAGATAATGAGTTCGGTTCAAAGGATGAAAATTTGGTGTGTGGTGGAATGAAATCGTTATCCCCCAAGACTGATATTCCCTTAAAGTCTCCCCTGAATATTAGAATTGGGGTAGTAAGGCTGATTTTCAAAGAATGTGACATTCATAGTGTTGTAGGTTTTTCTTGTGAGAAGATAGTAGCACTTATACCCTTTTCGAAGAGGCGAGTAACCAAGGAAAATATATTTAGTAGATTTAGGGTCAAGTTTGCTGCGATTGTGTGTGAACAAAGGATGAGCAACCAAATACTTTGGTAGGTAGATTTTGGGCAATTGTCTTGGTGTGGGGAAACGATTTGAGGAGTATGACTGGACTTTGAAATTTGAGGACCCAAGAAGGCATCCTGTTGATGAGGTAGGCTGCAGTGGATACAGCGTCATCCCAAAAAACCTTAGGCACGTTAGAGGAAAACATGAAGTAGCGAGCCATCTCGAGAAGGTGGTGGTTCTTACATTCGACGATCCTATTTTGTTGAGGAGTGTCGACGCAAGAACTGAGATGGAGAATGCCTTTAGAGGAGAGATAAGAGCCGAGGATGGAAGCAAAGTACTCCTTTGCATTATCAGTCTTGAGTGTCTAAATGGAGGTTTGGAATTGTGTTTATATCATTTAGTAAAATTATTCAAATATGTGATCAACTGCAGATTTATCTTTCATAAGGAATAATCACGTTAGTCGAGTGTGATCATCAATAAATGAGACAAACCACTGAGTCCCGGTAAGGGTTATAACACGGGATGAGCCCCAGATATCGTTGTGAATGAATGCAAAGGGTCAGGAATAGTGTAACCAACACGTGGAAATGACGTGCGAGTGTCTTTGGCAAGTTTACAAAATTCACATTGAAAAGAACGAACATCTTTATTGATAAATAAATTTGGAAATAATTTTGCAATATACATAAAATTTGGCATAAAATTTGGATGGCAAAATTTGGATGGCCGAGACGAAAATGTCATAACATAATCTCAGAATTTTTATTAACACTAGAATTGAAGACATAATGACGGGTAAACAAATTTCCGCAACGAGGTCGTGGTGGTGACGTACCGTTGATGACGTAGAGACCCAAGCACAACTCAGCAT